TAGATTCTTTGTAGTATGGTGGAGGGGGAGGAGAGTTGTAGTAAGAAGGTGATTTCTCATAATAAGTTGGTGGTGGTGGTGGAGGAGACTTGTAGTAAACTGGCGACTTGTAATATTTTGTTGGTGATGGTGATTTGTAATATTTTGAAGGAGTAGGTGATTTGTAATATTTTGATGGAGTAGGCGACTTGTAGTACTTTGCAGGTGATGGAGATTTGTAGTAGTACTTTGAGGGAGTTGGCGCCTTATAGTGCTTCTTTGAAGGGGCAGGTGACTTGTAATACTTCACTACCACCGGTGCCTTGTAGTAGTGTTTCGAAGGAGCAAGTGACTTATAATACTTTGCCACAATAGGTGTCTTGTAATAGTATTTAGAAGGAGCATGTGATTTGTAATACTTCGCAACAACAGGCGCCTTATAGTAGTGCTTTGAAGGAACATGCGACTTGTAATACTTCGCTACAACAGGTGTCTTATAGTAATGTTTTGAAGGAGCATGCGACTTGTAATAATAATGCGATGGAGAATGTTCAACATGTTTTTCCGGTTTCTTGTAGTATGGAGAGGGCAAATGAGAAGTATAGTCATAAGAGTAGTCAGCAACAACAGTGCTAGCTACAAAGCAAAATGCCAAAGCAAATGCAAGTAGATGCCATTGCCCCAAATTTCCAAAGCTTCTCATTTTGATGTTTGAAAAAAAGAAGAGGATTTTTGAACTAAGACTTGTGTTGCATAGTTGAGTTGGGATCTTTGGTTTTTATAGTAGCAAAAGTAACATCCTTAGCTTCTTGAGATTAATGTAATGACTTTATGGTTAGCCACTAAGATCACGATATTAATTAATTAAAGTCCAAATAAATATTAGTTTACTTTAATTAGTGGCTAACATTTCTTTTTGTTTGATAGAAAAATAATTTGCAAGTAGGCTAATTTAGAAAGAAAATATAAGTTGACTTGTATATTGAACATTGAAGTTCAAAAACAACAAGGCAAAAAGAAAGATATACACACACTAGATTATACCTTAAATAAGTCATTAAGGCGAATTAATTTTCGTAGAAAATATTTTCCTTCCTACCAAACGCACCCTAAGACTCGGAGCTCACCTTGTACGATGCATTCTTAGTAAAACATCTGAGGCATCGCAAAATCAACAGTTCAAGAATGTGTTCAACGCGCAATTGTAATTAGGCTTGGGGATCGTCCCATCATTTTTGTGCAATCAAGTATATATCGAAAACAATCTTTTAGTATTTATATATCTTCAAAAGCCATCTTTATTGATCATAAATTAGAAGTTGAATACATTGAAACTCAAAATTAGAGGTTCTTATATCTTATATTCTACTCTAAGAACATTACAATTTTGATGTTTTAAGTTTTTCAAGATCTTCATTATACAACCTCCATATTTCTTTGTTTCTTTTTAACGATCTCATCCGCAGTGAGTGTTTACATCAAATCATGAATGCATGTCATGTGTTTGAAAATACAATAATATCATATAACCATGATTAATTGATGTGTGAATATATANNTATATATGTATGTATATTCACTCTATTAAATTATATATCTAATTACAGTATGTTACATATCAGATGTAAACACCCGATGCGAGTAAGTATTTACCTAACTACATTATCCTTGTTTCCTCGGGTATAGAAATGTTAGGGAATAAAAACAACTTAGAAATAACCATATCTAATGATTACTCTTTTATTGAAGAATAATTGTATAATGTTGGAGTTGTATTATATCATGTAATTAAGAGTAACTGATCCTATAACTTATAAGGCTAAATATCATTTTAAATTTATTTATCTAAAATTTGGTTGTATCACTATCATCAAGAAATTCAACAATGGAAAGAATTGTCTTTAAACGCTAAATGAATTTTTCCCGCGTGTCTAAGCTTTGATGGAGTAAAGTTACTCAATCCTTATATTAGTGGGAACTAGATAACAAGTACATGAAAGGAATTAATATATAGTTGTGGCACGTACACAAGTTGATCCAGACACAATTCGATTAATTAATTAAAGAGAGAGATATTCAAATAATAATGCTAAGAAAATGTATTTTGATTATTTAAATCTCAAGAGTCAAGGGTACATATGACGATTTGTTTCCAAATAAATCTGATTTGATTCATATCTATGGATCATTAGGTGTTGTAGTTGAGTTGTATTTTCTGTTATTATATGAAGTTGATTGTATATTTCATAGTTATATTAGAATTTTTGGAATATGCTAACTTTTTCACGTTTTACTTTATTTTAAGATTTTACAATTTTAATATATTTATTCTTGTTTCATACTATTTGTGAATTTAGATATTAAAAAAATTAGTAATTTCACCAATTTTTTTAGTAGATAGGTTACAAACTATTATGGGAAAAATAATTCTCTAGAGATGATGATTTCAATTAACAATTCAGATACAGTATTATACAAAGAAGATAGGTAATAATCTTGATACAATGAGGAAAACTTACTTAATCCTCAAGTTATTAATACATAATACAATTCATTAGAACAAAACAATATCGAACACACAATAAGCAAAGCCCATCATTGCGACAAGCATATATTAAATTTTGGAAGAAAAAATGGAATTAAAATAGGATGTAAAAGTCATGGAAGTGATAGAGTTATTGAACGTTTAGTAGTACGTTGGTGGGGGAGATGCTGGCGGGGGTGGAGGTGAAGCATAGATGACAGTTTGCTCGTACTCCTGAGGTGGTGGTGGTGAGGAATAGGTTGGTGGAGGTGGAGGTGGTGAGTTATAGGTTGTAGGTGATTGCTCATAGTACTTTGGTGGAGGTGGAGGAGATTCATAGGAAGGCGTAGATTCTTCTACTAATCAAACTCAATATTTTCGTCTTCAAATCTGTTTTTTTAGTTACTTAAGTCAGATTGATAACAATATTGTCCTCTTCATGTTCATGGGGTATGACATTTATTTATTAGTTAAAACATGTAAAGGGTAACAATTTTTTTTTTTGATAACCGAGAAATTTGCATGTGACCCGCCCTTTGGACCAATCACAACCTTCTAAACTCGGTGGATAATGGGTACGCCCCTCTAGTAAGAGGTAACAATTTACAAATAACTACATAAGAAGATTAATCTTTTACTAATGAATATCATAGTGTTATGAGTTGTTGGTTAATTTATTAACTTATGACTCTATTTCTTTTTGCTTTATATAATTTTCTTTTTCAAAAGTTGATAAGTATAATTACAATCCAAAAAATGGATAGCATGTCAAAGAAGGCTTATTGTATAATAAAGAGACAATGGAACGAATCTCCTTATCGTATTATTCCAAGAGTGAGCTATTTGTAGGTGTACAAGTAAATCTATCTAAGAAAACAAAATCATAAAATCCCTAATATCTCAACCTACGATTGTATGAAGATGCGTCTATATTCATTATGTAGCACTCCCCCTTAAGTTGGAGTATAGATATTAATCATGTCCAACATGTTACAAAGATACTCCACACGAGTACCATTTAAAGCCTTCTTTAATATATTACCTGTTTTCTCTCGTCTTTACATAACCAGTAGAAATCATGTTCTCTATCTTCTCGGGAACAAAGTGTGTAATGACCCTGAAGGTCATATTTGGATTCATTTTTTTGGAAAAATTACCGTTTTACCCCTCTCAATAGTTGCCCTGAGTCATGTTTGATAAGCTTATGAGGTTAGATTTGAAACCAAATCATAAAGTTGAGATTTTTATAAGTTTTGGAGTTTTGGAAGCTTTTAAGTTGAAATGATTGACTTTAGTCAACATTTGGAGTTCCGAGTCTCGAAATAGAGTTCCGTCAGTTCCTTCGGCTCCTTTCAAACAACACAAGATCTGTTCCAAGACTACCCAATGTTAACTGTTCGTGCAGACATGAACTGACTGACAATACTAACTGCATAGCCAATATCAGACGGGTCACTGTAAGGTAGTTTAGTTTCCCAACTAACCTTTTGTATCTTTCTGTATCATCAAATATATGTTATGGAGGTATACTATACTTGAAAGAATTAAGTCGATTAAAACCACAGAATATTACACAAAGAAGAGAAGATAGGTAACAAACTATTGATCTTGATACAATGAGAAAAACTAATGAAGACATAAAACAAAATACAAATCATTAGAACAAAACAATATTGAACATACAGTAAGCAAAGCTGATCATTTTGACAAGCATACATTAAATTTTGGAAGAGGGAATGAAATCAAAATAGGATGTAGAAGTCATGGAAATGATAGAGTTATTGAATGTTTAGTAGTACGTCGGTGGGGGAGAAGCTGGCGGGGGTGGAGGTGAAGCATAGGTGACAGATTGCTCGTACTTCTGAGGTGGTGGAGGTGAGGCATAGGTGGGAGTTTGCTTGTAATAGGCTGGTGGTGGTGGAGGTGGTGAGTTATAGGTTGTAGGAGATTGCTCATAGTACTTTGGTGGGGGTGGAGGAGATTTATAGGAAGGTGTAGATTCTTTGTAATATGGTGGAGGTGGAGGGGATTTATAAGAAGGCGTAGATTCTTCATAGTATGGTGGAGGGGGAGGAGATTTATAAGAAGGGGTAGATTCTTTGTAGTATGGGGGAGGGGGAGGGGATTTATAAGAAGGGGTAGATTCTTTGTAGTATGGGGGAGGGGGAGGGGATTTATAAGAAGGGGTAGATTCTTTGTAGTATGGGGGAGGGGGAGGGGATTTATAAGAAGGGGTAGATTCTTTGTAGTATGGGGGAGGGGGAGGGGATTTATAAGAAGGGGTAGATTCTTTGTAGTATGGGGGAGGGGGAGGGGATTTATAAGAAGGGGTAGATTCTTTGTAGTATGGGGGAGGGGGAGGGGATTTATAAGAAGGGGTAGATTCTTTGTAGTATGGGGGAGGGGGAGGGGATTTATAAGAAGGGGTAGATTCTTTGTAGTATGGGGGAGGGGGAGGGGATTTATAAGAAGGGGTAGATTCTTTGTAGTATGGGGGAGGGGGAGGGGATTTATAAGAAGGGGTAGATTCTTTGTAGTATGGGGGAGGGGGAGGGGATTTATAAGAAGGGGTAGATTCTTTGTAGTATGGGGGAGGGGGAGGGGATTTATAAGAAGGGGTAGATTCTTTGTAGTATGGGGGAGGGGGAGGGGATTTATAAGAAGGGGTAGATTCTTTGTAGTATGGGGGAGGGGGAGGGGATTTATAAGAAGGGGTAGATTCTTTGTAGTATGGTGGAGGGGGAGGGGAGTTGTAGTAAGAAGGTGATTTCTCATAATAAGTTGGTGGTGGTGGTGGAGGAGACTTGTAGTAAACTGGCGACCTGTAATATTTTGTTGGTGATGGTGATTTATAATATTTAGAAGGAGTAGGTGATTTGTAATATTTTGATGGAGTAGGCGACTTGTAGTACTTTGCAGGTGATGGTGACTTGTAGTAGTACTTTGAGGGAGTTGGCACCTTATAGTACTTCTTTAAAGGGGCAGGTGACTTGTAATACTTCACTACCACCGGTGCCTTGTAGTAGTGTTTCGAAGGAGTAGGTGACTTGTAATACTTCACAACCACTGGTGCCTTGTGGTAATTCTTTGAAGGAACTGGTGACTTGTAATACTTCACAACCACGGGTGCCTTGTAGTAGTGCTTTGAAGGAGCATGTGACTTGTAATACTTCGTAACAACGTAATACTTCACAACCACGGGTGCCTTGTAGTAGTGCTTTGAAGGAGCATGTGACTTGTAATACTTCGCAACAATAGGCGCCTTATAGTAGTGCTTTGAAGGAGCATGCGACTTGTAATACTTCGCTACAACAGGTGTCTTATAGTAATGTTTTAAAGGAGCATGTGACTTGTAATAATAATGCGATGGAGAATGTTCAACATGTTTTTCCGGCTTCTTGTAGTATGGAGAGGGTGAATGAGAAGTATAGTCATAAGAGTAATCAGCAACAACAGTGCTAGCTACAAAGCAAAATGCCAAAGCAAATGCAAGTAGATGCCATAGCCCCAAATTTCCAAAGCTTCTCATTTTGATTTTTGGAGAAAAAAGATAGGACTAAGTTGTGTTGCATAGTTGAGTTGGGATCTTTAGTTTTTATAGTAGCAAAGTAATATACTTCTTGAGATTAATTAATGTAATGGTTTCATGGTTACCCACTAAGATGATAGGAAAGTCCAAATAAATATTAGTTTAGTGTAATTAGTGGCAAGCATTTATTTTGGTGATTGAAAAAATAATTTGCAAGTGGGCTAATTTAGAAATAATAGATAAGCTGACTTGAATATTGAACATGAAGTTCAAAAACAAGGCAAAAAGATCATATACACACACCAGATTACAACAATAACAATATATTCAGTATAATTTCACAAAGTAAGGTCTGGGGAGGGTAGAGTGTACCCAGACACCATTGTTACGATAGTGGGTTAATTTGATGGAATTTCCATAAGAAAAATCTTGATGTTTTTTTTACTTTTTCAAGATCTTCATTATATAACCTCCATATTATTTTTTAAGTCTTGTTATTTTAACTTCTGCATCGGGTGTTTAAATCAAACTAATGAATGTATGTCATGTGTATAAATTTACAATAACATCACATAATCATGGTTAATTAATATATTCACTCCATTAAATTATCTAACTACAATAAATTATATAAATTTGGTGTAAATACCCAATGCTCATAAATATTTACCCAAACAGTGTTGGTGTTGGAGTTGTACTGTGCAATTGTAACGTTCCTATATAAGACTATAAGTAACATTTTTTTTTATATCTAAAACTTGGTTTTATCTCAAGCAAGAAATTCAATAATGGAAAGAGTTGTCTTTGAACATTATATGATATTTTTCCATCTGCCTAAAGCGAGTAAAGTTACTTGGTACATGTATTATAGTGGGAGCTAGCCGCTAGATAGCAAGTACATGATGGAATAGTCGCGGTACGAATAAATTGGTCCAAACACAACTCGTTTAATCAAAGAGAGAAATTCAAGTAATAATATTAATATATTTATTTCTCAAGAGGAACATATGATATTTTGTTTCCTTCTAATATTTGGATTGTTAGGCGTTGTAATTAAAGTTGTATATCATGATATTATATAAAGTTGATTGTATATTTCATAGTCATATATTAGCATTTCTAAAATTTATGCCAACTTTTTCACATTTTTATTTTATTTTAAAATTTTATAATGTTAATGTATTTTAGGCGTTGTTGTTGAGTTGTATATCATGATATTAGATTTTGTTAATTTATAAATAATTTTTGTAGATTTTACCATTTTTCTTAATTAAATAGGTTACAAACTATTGCAGGGAAGAAATTATCTAGGGACAATACCATCTCATTTCAATTAACAATTTGGATACAATATTATTACACAAAGAAGAGAAGATAAGTAACAAACTATTAATCTTGATACAATGAGGAAATCTTAATTAATTCTCAAGTAATACATAATACAAATCATTAGAACAAAACAATATTGAACACACAATAAATAAAGTCGATCATTTCGACTAACATACATTAAATTTTGGAAGGGAAATGGAATAAAAATAGGATGTAAAATTCATGGAAATGATAGAGTTATTGAATGTTTAGTTGTATGTTGGCGGGGGTGGAGGTGAGGCATAGGTGGGAGTTTGCTAATAATAGATTGGTGATGGTGGAGGTGGTGAGTTGTATTTTGTAGGCGATTGCTCATAGTACTTTGGTGGAGGGGTAGTATGGGGGAGGTGGAGGGGACTTGTAGTAAGGGGTAGATTCTTTGTAGTATGGGGGAGGTGGAGGGGACTTGTAGTAAGGGGTAGATTCTTTGTAGTATGGGGGAGGTGGAGGGGACTTGTAGTAAGGGGGAGATTCTTTGTAGTATGGGGGAGGTGGAGGGGACTTGTAGTAAGGGGGAGATTCTTTGTAGTATGGGGGAGGTGGAGGGGACTTGTAGTAAGGGGGAGATTCTTTGTAGTATGGGGGAGGTGGAGGGGACTTGTAGTAAGGGGGAGATTCTTTGTAGTATGGGGGAGGTGGAGGGGACTTGTAGTAAGGGGGAGATTCTTTGTAGTATGGGGGAGGTGGAGGGGACTTATAGGAAGGGGTAGATTCTTTGTAGTATGGGGGAGGTGGTGGAGACTTGTAGTAAGGGGTAGATTCTTTGTAGTATGGGGGAGGTGGTGGGGACTTGTAGGAAGGCGTAGATTCTTTGTAGTATGGGGGAGGTGGTGGGGATTTGTAGGAAGAGGTTGATTCTTTGTAGTACGGGGGAGGGGGAGGGGACTTGTAGTAAGGTGTAGATTCTTTGTAGTATGGTGGAGGTGGAGGAGATTTATATGAAGGTGTAGATTCCTTGTAGTATGGGGGAGGTGGAGGTGATTTGGAGGGGACTTGTAGTAAGGGGGAGATTCTTTGTAGTATGGGGGAGGTGGAGGGGACTTGTAGTAAGGGGGAGATTCTTTGTAGTATGGGGGAGGTGGAGGGGACTTGTAGTAAGGGGTAGATTCTTTGTAGTATGGGGGTGGTGGAGGGGACTTATAGTAAGGGGTAGATTCTTTGTAGTATGGAGGAGGAGGAGGAGACTTGTAGTAAGGGGTAGATTCTTTGTAGTATGGTGGAGGGGGAGGGGACTTGTAATAAACTGGTGACTTGTAATATGTTGGTGGTGGTGGCGATTTATAGTACTTAGAAGGAGCGGGTGATTTGTAATATTGTGATGGGGATGGTGACTTATAGTAATAATGCTTTGATGGAGCAGGTGACTTGTAGTATTTTGCTGGCGATGGAGATTTGTAGTACTTTACAGGGGATGGTGACTTGTAGTAATAGTTCTTTGATGGAGCAGGCGACTTGTAGTATTTTGCAGGCGATGGAGATTTGTAGTACTTTACAGGGGATGGTGACTTGTAGTAATAGTTCTTTGATGGAGCAGGCGACTTGTAGTATTTTGCAGGCGATGGAGATTTGTAGTACTTTACAGGGGATGGTGACTTGTAGTAATAGTTGTTTGATGGAGCAGGCGACTTGTAGTATTTTGCAGGCGAAGGAGATTTGTAGTACTTTACAGGGGATGGTGACTTGTAGTAATAGTTGTTTGATGGAGCAGGCGACTTGTAGTATTTTGCAGGCGATGGAGATTTGTAGTACTTCTTTGAAGGGGATGGTGACTTGTAGTACTTCTTAGAAGGGGCATGCGACTTGTAATAGTACTTTGAAGGGGAAGGCGACTTGTAGTATTTCTTTGAAGGAGCCGGTGATTTGTAATACTTTACTACTACCGGTGATTTGTAGTAGTGCTTTGAAGGAGTAGGGGACTTGTAATAGTGTGACGGAGAATGTTCAGCATGTTTCTCCGGTTTCTTGTAGTATGGAGATGGAGATGGTGATTTGTAGTACTTCTTAGAGGTGTAAGAAGTTGAAGGAGAAGTATAGCCATAAGAGTAATCAGCAACAACAGTGCTGGCTACAAAGCAAATTGCCAAAGCAAATGCTAGTAGAGGCAATTGCCCCAAATTCCCAAAGCTTCTCATTTTGATTGTAAAAAGAAGGATAAAACTAAGACTTGTGTTGCATAGTTGAGTTGAGATGTCTAGTTTTTATAGTAGCAAAGTAGCATCCTTCATGGTTAGCCACTAATATCATAGCAAAGTCCAAATAAAGACTAGGTCATGAATACTTAGTGGGAAGCATTTTTCCACAACTTTTTTTCTTAAAACTTATTCTAATGATTGAACAAATCATTAGAAACATAAAAAAAGAAAATGAGAAGATTAGAAGAGGAATGCCACAACTTCCATCCCATTGGGAAAGTAAAAGAATGATTATTTGCAGAACAAGAATCTATATGTTCACTAGTACAAAAACTGAACAAGAAGTTCAAAAACTTACAGAGGATCACACATGGAAGGCAAACTTGAGACTCGTTAGGGACTCGAGATGAGGTACTTTGGGACAGATGTAGAGGTTGTTGCCTCAGCGAGACTTACACCTCAAGTGTCAGCATGTATACCTGAGAGGCATCAAACGTCCAACACACGGGGCTTGTCTCAATAGTTCCTGTGCAATCTATGTACTTAGTCTTTCTAAATCACCCTTCACTGATATAAAAAAAAACAATGAGTTAAGAAAATTGCAAGTAAAAAGATTAGAGTCAAATGTCACATATTCTTCGTCAAGAATGCTAAATACAGAGAGGTTTCACAACACCTTTTATCGGAAACATCTTGATATGTCTTATTTTTAGCTGAGTCTTTGTTAATCAAACTCAATATTTTCGTCTTCAAATCTGTTTTTTTAGTTACTTAAGTCAGATTGATAACAATATTGTCCTCTTCATGTTCATGGGGTATGACATTTATTTATTAGTTAAAACATGTAAAGGGTAACAATTTTTTTTTTTGATAACCGAGAAATTTGCATGTGACCCGCCCTTTGGACCAATCACAACCTTCTAAACTCGGTGGATAATGGGTACGCCCCTCTAGTAAGAGGTAACAATTTACAAATAACTACATAAGAAGATTAATCTTTTACTAATGAATATCATAGTGTTATGAGTTGTTGGTTAATTTATTAACTTAATGGAAGCCGCAATGTTGGAGTTGTTGGTTAATTTATTAACTTATGACTCTATTTCTTTTTGCTTTATATAATTTTCTTTTTCAAAAGTTGATAAGTATAATTACAATCCAAAAAATGGATAGCATGTCAAAGAAGGCTTATTGTATAATAAAGAGACAATGGAACGAATCTCCTTATCGTATTATTCCAAGAGTGAGCTATTTGTAGGTGTACAAGTAAATCTATCTAAGAAAACAAAATCATAAAATCCCTAATATCTCAACCTACGATTGTATGAAGATGCGTCTATATTCATTATGTAGCACTCCCCCTTAAGTTGGAGTATAGATATTAATCATGTCCAACATGTTACAAAGATACTCCACACGAGTACCATTTAAAGCCTTCTTTAATATATTACCTGTTTTCTCTCGTCTTTACATAACCAGTAGAAATCATGTTCTCTATCTTCTCGGGAACAAAGTGTGTAATGACCCTGAAGGTCATATTTGGATTCATTTTTTTGGAAAAATTACCGTTTTACCCCTCTCAATAGTTGCCCTGAGTCATGTTTGATAAGCTTATGAGGTTAGATTTGAAACCAAATCATAAAGTTGAGATTTTTATAAGTTTTGGAGTTTTGGAAGCTTTTAAGTTGAAATGATTGACTTTAGTCAACATTTGGAGTTCCGAGTCTCGAAATAGAGTTCCGTCAGTTCCTTCGGCTCCTTTCAAACAACACAAGATCTGTTCCAAGACTACCCAATGTTAACTGTTCGTGCAGACATGAACTGACTGACAATACTAACTGCATAGCCAATATCAGACGGGTCACTGTAAGGTAGTTTAGTTTCCCAACTAACCTTTTGTATCTTTCTGTATCATCAAATATATGTTATGGAGGTATACTATACTTGAAAGAATTAAGTCGATTAAAACCACAGAATATTACACAAAGAAGAGAAGATAGGTAACAAACTATTGATCTTGATACAATGAGAAAAACTAATGAAGACATAAAACAAAATACAAATCATTAGAACAAAACAATATTGAACATACAGTAAGCAAAGCTGATCATTTTGACAAGCATACATTAAATTTTGGAAGAGGGAATGAAATCAAAATAGGATGTAGAAGTCATGGAAATGATAGAGTTATTGAATGTTTAGTAGTACGTCGGTGGGGGAGAAGCTGGCGGGGGTGGAGGTGAAGCATAGGTGACAGATTGCTCGTACTTCTGAGGTGGTGGAGGTGAGGCATAGGTGGGAGTTTGCTTGTAATAGGCTGGTGGTGGTGGAGGTGGTGAGTTATAGGTTGTAGGAGATTGCTCATAGTACTTTGGTGGGGGTGGAGGAGATTTATAGGAAGGTGTAGATTCTTTGTAATATGGTGGAGGTGGAGGGGATTTATAAGAAGGCGTAGATTCTTCATAGTATGGTGGAGGGGGAGGAGATTTATAAGAAGGGGTAGATTCTTTGTAGTATGGGGGAGGTGGAGGGGACTTGTAGTAAGGAGTAGATTCTTTGTAGTATGGGGGAGGTGGAGGGGACTTGTAGTAAGGAGTAGATTCTTTGTAGTATGGGGGAGGTGGAGGGGACTTGTAGTAAGGAGTAGATTCTTTGTAGTATGGGGGAGGAGGAGGGGACTTGTAGTAAGGGGTAGATTCTTTGTAGTATGGTGGAGGGGGAGGGGACTTGTAGTAAGAAGGTGATTTCTCATAATAAGTTGGTGGTGGGGGAGGAGACTTGTAGTAAACTGGTGACTTGTAATATTTTTGTGGTGCAGGTGATTTATAGTATTTGGAAGGAGCGGGTGAGTTGTAATATTTTGAAGGGGATGGGGACTTGTAGTAATAGTGCTTTGATGGAGCAGGCGACTTGTAGTACTTTGCAGGTGATGGCGACTTGTAGTAGTACTTTGAAGGAGCTGGCGACTTGTAGTACTCCTTTGAAGGGACAGGTGCCTTGTAGTAATTCTTTGAAGGAGCTGGTGACTTGTAATACTTCACTACCACTGGAGCCTTGTAGTAGTGTTTCGAAGGAGCAGGTGACTTGTAATACTTCGTAACAACAGGTGCCTTGTAGTAGTGCTTTGAAGGAGCGTGTGACTTGTAATACTTCGTAACAATAGGTGCCTTGTAGTAGTGCTTTGAAGGAGCATGTGACTGGTAATACTTCGCAATAACAGGTGCCTTATAGTAGTGTTTTGAAGGAGCATGCGACTTGTAATAGTAATGCGATGGAGAATGTTCAACATGTTTTTCCGGTTTCTTGTAGTATGGAGAAGGTGATTTGTAGTCTTTCTTAGAATTGTAAGAAGGTGAATGAGAAGTATAGTCATAAGAGTAGTCAGCAACAACAGTGCTGGCTACAAAGCAAATTGCCAAAGCAAATGCAAGTAGAGGCCATTGCCCCAAATTTCCAAAGCTTCTCATTTGCTTTTTCAACCAACTAAACTTGGAGAAGAGGAGGATAGAACTAAGACTTGTGTTGCATAGTTGAGTAGGAACCTCTAGATTTATACTACAAATTGATAGTCTTCTTAACAGTCATGTAATGGCTTCATGGTTAGCCACTAAGATGATGCCTAAGTCAAAATAAAGACTAAGTCAGTACTTAGTGGGAAGCATTTATCCATGACTTCTTTCTTTTAGAAAAAAATTTCATGATGAAGAAATAATTTAGGAACAAAAAAAGAAAAATAAGAAGAGGAATGCCACAACTGTCATCCCATTGGCAAAGTAAAAGAATAGCAATTCCAGAAGAAGAATCTACAAGTTGACTTTACTATTGAACAGTGGATAATCATACCAGATTACACCTTATATAACATTTTGGTCTGAGGATCACGGATGGAAGGCAGACTCGAGACTCGTCAGGGACTCATATAGAGATGAGATACTTTGGGACAGACGTAGAGATAGTAGTCTCGCGATACTTACACCTCAAGTGTCCAGAAGTACACCTGAGATGATCCCAATGTTCAATGCACAAGCTCATCCCAATAGTTCATGTGCAATAGTATGTAACTAGTCTTATGAACCCCAAAATGTCTTTATATAAACCTTCACTCTTTAAATCCCCCTTTACAAATGACAGAACACAGAATAAAGATTGAGAAAATTGCAACTAAGAAAATTAGAGTCAAATGTCACATATTCTCCATTAACAACGCCAACTACACTGAGGTTTCCAGAACTTCTATCGGAAAAATCTTGATGTCTTAATTTTTCCCAAGTCTTCATTATTCAGACTCTACATTCTCCTCGTCAAATATGTTTTCCTACTTAAGTCGGATTGATATCAGTATATTTCTTTTCGTGTTCTTGGGGTATGAAACTTATTTATTTAATAGTTAGATGTAAGGGGATAACAACTTATGAATAACTACATAAGAAGATTACAAATCCCACCTCATCATGCTCTGCTGATGAGTTTTGACATGAATATAAAGTTACCTTTATCAAAAAAAATAACTACATAAGAAGATTATTCTTTTTTACTGATCAAGAAGTTACGCAGGGACATCCTATATTGCTGAATAGAGCATCCAATCTGCATAGATTAGGCATACAGGCATTCCAGCCTGTTTTAGTGGAGGGACGCTATTTGTTTACATCCATTAGTTTTCAAGGGATTCTATACCGATTTTTATGGAGATCAAATGGTTGTTCATGTACCTTTATCCTTGGAGGTTCAAGTAGAGGCTCGTTTAATTGTGTTTTCTCATAAGAATCTTTTGTCTCTTGATATTGGGATCCCATTTCCGTACGAATTGTTTGTTAATTTATTAGTAACTTAATGGAGGCAATAATGTTGGAGTTGCACATATAGTTTTTAATTTAACCTATAAGACTAAGAATACTTTTCTAACAAATCTGAAACTTGGTTACATCTTCGCAGAAGGAAAAATCAATAATGAAAAGAGTAATCTTTAAAGAGAAAAATGTCGATAAACCTTGACTACGTCGCCTTTTCCTCTTCTCTATCTTAGAAAAGAATTGTCGAAATGATGCATTTTCTTAGTTTAAATGCATCTTTATTTCTTTCTTATTCTGTTTATTGTACATAATTTTGCTTTCTCAAAAGTTAATGAGTACAGTTACCAAACTATACTCAGATGTGGTTTCTCTTCATATAAGAGTTTAGCATAGATGTCCATAAGGTGAATGCTTATGGAACAATGAAAGAAGTCAAGAACTCAACCAATAAGAGAACACAATATTTGATAAAGAAGAAGATAGTATTACACAAAGTGGAACTCTCAAGAGATTACATCAAAAAGAATCTTGATACAATGAACCAAACTGACGGAGATCTTGAGGATCTCAAACAATGCATATTACAAATTATTAAAAGAAAGGAACACACAAAACAAGCAAAACCTTCTTGAAGAATACATAAAATTTTGGCTGAGGAAATAGAGATACTCAAAGTAGGAGTTAGAATTCATGGAAATGGTGGAAATGATAGAATTAGTAACTATTTTAATAGTAGGTTGATGGGGGTGGAGGAGATTTATAGGAAGGTGTAGATTCTTTGTAGTATGGTGGAGGGGGAGGGGATTTATAGGAAGGAGTAGATTCTTTGTAGTATGGTGGAGGGGGAGGGGATTTATAGGAAGGAGTAGATTCTTTGTAGTATGGTGGAGGGGGAGGGTGTGGTGGGGGGGAGGGGGAGGGGATTTATAGGAAGGAGTAGATTCTTTGTAGTATGGTGGAGGTGGAGGTGATTTATAGGAAGGAGTAGATTCTTTGTAGTATGGGGGAGGTGGAGGGGACTTGTAGTAAGGGGTAGATTCTTTGTAGTATGGGGGAGGTGGAGGGGACTTGTAGTAAGGGGTAGATTCTTTGTAGTATGGGGGAGGTGGAGGGGACTTGTAGTAAGGGGTAGATTCTTTGTAGTATGGGGGAGGTGGAGGGGACTTGTAGTAAGGGGTAGATTCTTTGTAGTATGGGGGAGGTGGAGGGGACTTGTAGTAAGGGGTAGATTCTTTGTAGTATGGGGGAGGTGGAGGGGACTTGTAGTAAGGGGTAGATTCTTTGTAGTATGGGGGAGGTGGAGGGGACTTGTAGTAAGGGGTAGATTCTTTGTAGTATGGGGGAGGTGGAGGGGACTTGTAGTAAGGGGTAGATTCTTTGTAGTATGGGGGAGGTGGAGGGGACTTGTAGTAAGGGGTAGATTCTTTGTAGTATGGGGGAGGTGGAGGAGACTTGTAGTAAGGGGTAGACTCTTTGTAGTATGGTGGAGGGGGAGGGGACTTGTAGTAAGGGGTAGATTCTTTGTAGTATGGGGGAGGTGGAGGGGACTTGTAGTAAGGGGTAGATTCTTTGTAGTATGGGGGAGGTGGAGGGGACTTGTAGTAAGGGGTAGATTTATAGTATTTAGAAGGAGCGGGTGACTTGTAATATTTTGTTGGAGATGGTGACTTGTAGTAATAGTGATTTGATGGTGAAGGCCACTTGTAGTATTTTGCAGGCGATGGAGATTTGTAGTATTTTGTAGGGGATGGTGACTTATAATAATAGTGATTTGATGGAGCAGGTGACTTGTAGTATTTTGCAGGTGAAGGAGATTTGTAGTACTTTGCAGGAGATGGTGACTTGTAATAGTTCTTTGAAGGGGCAGGGGACTTGTAGTACTTCTTTGAAGGAGCAGGGGCCTTGTAGTACTTGTTTGAATGGGAAGGTGCCTTGTAGTAGTACTTCTTTGAAGGAACTGGTGATTTGTAATACTTCACTACTACTGGTGATTTGTAGTAATGCTTTGAAGGAGTAGGGGACTTGTAATAGTCGTGCTTGGAAGGCACCGGTGACTTGTAATAGTGTGACGGAGAATATTCAGCATGTTTTTCCGGTTTCTTGTAGTATGGAGTTGGTTCGTGATAGTTGGATGGAGATGGTGATTTGTAGTACTTCTTAGCGGTGTAAGAAGGTGAGGGAGAAGTATAGCCATAAGAGTAATCAGCAACAACAGTGCTGGCTACAAAGCAAATTGCCAAAGCAAATGCTAGTAGAGGCAATTTCCCCAAATTCCAAAAGCTTCTCATTGTGCTTCTTGGAGAGAAAAGAAAGGATAGAACTAAGACTTGTGTTGCATAGTTGAGTTAGGATCTCTGGTTTTTATACTGCAATTGTGACATCCTTCTTAACATTTTTGTATTTGCTTCATGGTTAACCACTAAGATGATAGCAAAGATCAAATAAAGACTAGGTTAGTACTAAGAGCCTTCATGGTTACCCACTAAAAAGGCAGGATATTCCTAAGTTATGGCATCCTACTAAGTATAAGGTTGACTTTTTCTTAAAATAAAATAACCAGAAAAAGAGGGTGGGAAATTCTCTTTCTTCCTCTATCTACACCATAACATTAGATGTTAAACATGGAGTTCAAGAAAAAACAGTGAATACACATACAATGTATGGATTTAATTGCAGGTTCAACCTGGGAGCAATGGGCCTACCGGAAGTTCGCCATGTCTATCAAGAAGTCAATTTTGTGGTGGAATCCCTTAGCGATGGGAGGAACTGTGATGCAACTACAACTAACGGGCACAACGTCATGTTCTACCATGGCATTCAGTTCCTCTTTGTAATGACTCCAACTAGTTCTACTTGCTTTCAATAAAAGATCCAAAACAATGAGAACATCACATGATGCAAGATTAATTGAATTTTAGGGTAGAACCTGTCCTTCAGTTTCATTCTGCTTTATTGGTTCAGCCTCAAATATGTTTTCCTACTTAAGTCGGATTGATATCAGTATGGTGGAGGGGACTTGTAGTAAGGGGTAGATTCTTTGTAGTATGGGGGAGGTGGAGGGGACTTGTAGTAAGGGGTAGATTCTTTGTAGTATGGGGGAGGTGGAGGGGACTTGTAGTAAGGGGTAGATTCTTTGTAGTATGGGGGAGGTGGAGGGGACTTGTAGTAAGGGGTAGATTCTTTGTAGTATGGGGGAGGTGGAGGGGACTTGTAGTAAGGGGTAGATTCTTTGTAGTATGGGGGAGGTGGAGGGGACTTGTAGTAAGGGGTAGATTCTTTGTAGTATGGGGGAGGTGGAGGGGACTTGTAGTAAGGGGTAGATTCTTTGTAGTATGGGGGAGGTGGAGGGGACTTGTAGTAAGGGGTAGATTCTTTGTAGTATGGGGGAGGTGGAGGGGACTTGTAGTAAGGGGTAGATTCTTTGTAGTATGGGGGAGGTGGAGGGGACTTGTAGTAAGGGGTAGATTCTTTGTAGTATGGGGGAGGTGGAGGGGACTTGTAGTAAGGGGTAGATTCTTTGTAGTATGGGGGAGGTGGAGGGGACTTGTAGTAAGGGGTAGATTCTTTGTAGTATGGGGGAGGTGGAGGGGACTTGTAGTAAGGGGTAGATTCTTTGTAGTATGGGGGAGGTGGAGGGGACTTGTAGTAAGGGGTAGATTCTTTGTAGTATGGGGGAGGTGGAGGGGACTTGTAGTAAGGGGTAGATTCTTTGTAGTATGGGGGAGGTGGAGGGGACTTGTAGTAAGGGGTAGATTCTTTGTAGTATGGGGGAGGTGGAGGGGACTTGTAGTAAGGGGTAGATTCTTTGTAGTATGGGGGAGGTGGAGGGGACTTGTAGTAAGGGGTAGATTCTTTGTAGTATGGGGGAGGTGGAGGGGACTTGTAGTAAGGGGTAGATTCTTTGTAGTATGGGGGAGGTGGAGGGGACTTGTAGTAAGGGGTAGATTCTTTGTAGTATGGGGGAGGTGGAGGGGACTTGTAGTAAGGGGTAGATTCTTTGTAGTATGGGGGAGGTGGAGGGGACTTGTAGTAAGGGGTAGATTCTTTGTAGTATGGGGGAGGTGGAGGGGACTTGTAGTAAGGGGTAGATTCTTTGTAGTATGGGGGAGGTGGAGGGGACTTGTAGTAAGGGGTAGATTCTTTGTAGTATGGGGGAGGTGGAGGGGACTTGTAGTAAGGGGTAGATTCTTTGTAGTATGGGGGAGGTGGAGGGGACTTGTAGTAAGGGGTAGATTCTTTGTAGTATGGGGGAGGTGGAGGGGACTTGTAGTAAGGGGTAGATTCTTTGTAGTATGGGGGAGGTGGAGGGGACTTGTAGTAAGGGGTAGATTCTTTGTAGTATGGGGGAGGTGGAGGGGACTTGTAGTAAGGGGTAGATTCTTTGTAGTATGGGGGAGGTGGAGGGGACTTGTAGTAAGGGGTAGATTCTTTGTAGTATGGGGGAGGTGGAGGGGACTTGTAGTAAGGGGTAGATTCTTTGTAGTATGGGGGAGGTGGAGGGGACTTGTAGTAAGGGGTAGATTCTTTGTAGTATGGGGGAGGTGGAGGGGACTTGTAGTAAGGGGTAGATTCTTTGTAGTATGGGGGAGGTGGAGGGGACTTGTAGTAAGGGGTAGATTCTTTGTAGTATGGGGGAGGTGGAGGGGACTTGTAGTAAGGGGTAGATTCTTTGTAGTATGGGGGAGGTGGAGGGGACTTGTAGTAAGGGGTAGATTCTTTGTAGTATGGGGGAGGTGGAGGGGACTTGTAGTAAGGGGTAGATTCTTTGTAGTATGGGGGAGGTGGAGGGGACTTGTAGTAAGGGGTAGATTCTTTGTAGTATGGGGGAGGTGGAGGGGACTTGTAGTAAGGGGTAGATTCTTTGTAGTATGGGGGAGGTGGAGGGGACTTGTAGTAAGGGGTAGATTCTTTGTAGTATGGGGGAGGTGGAGGGGACTTGTAGTAAGGGGTAGATTCTTTGTAGTATGGGGGAGGTGGAGGGGACTTGTAGTAAGGGGTAGATTCTTTGTAGTATGGGGGAGGTGGAGGGGACTTGTAGTAAGGGGTAGATTCTTTGTAGTATGGGGGAGGTGGAGGGGACTTGTAGTAAGGGGTAGATTCTTTGTAGTATGGGGGAGGTGGAGGGGACTTGTAGTAAGGGGTAGATTCTTTGTAGTATGGGGGAGGTGGAGGGGACTTGTAGTAAGGGGTAGATTTATAGTATTTAGAAGGAGCGGGTGACTTGTAATATTTTGTTGGAGATGGTGACTTGTAGTAATAGTGATTTGATGGTGAAGGCCACTTGTAGTATTTTGCAGGCGATGGAGATTTGTAGTATTTTGTAGGGGATGGTGACTTATAATAATAGTGATTTGATGGAGCAGGTGACTTGTAGTATTTTGCAGGTGAAGGAGATTTGTAGTACTTTGCAGGAGATGGTGACTTGTAATAGTTCTTTGAAGGGGCAAGGGACTTGTAGTACTTCTTTGAAGGAGCAGGGGCCTTGTAGTACTTGTTTGAATGGGAAGGTGCCTTGTAGTAGTACTTCTTTGAAGGAACTGGTGATTTGTAATACTTCACTACTACTGGTGATTTGTAGTAATGCTTTGAAGGAGTAGGGGACTTGTAATAGTCGTGCTTGGAAGGCACCGGTGACTTGTAATAGTGTGATGGAGAATGTTCAGCATGTTTCTCCGGTTTCTTGTAGTATGGAGTTGGTTCATGATAGTTGGATGGAGATGGTGATTTGTAGTACTTCTTAGAGGTGTAAGAAGGTGAGGGAGAAGTATAGCCATAAGAGTAATCAGCAACAACAGTGCTGGCTACAAAGCAAATTGCCAAAGCAAATGCTAGTAGAGGCAATTTCCCCAAATTCCAAAAGCTTCTCATTGTGATTCTTGGAGAGAAAAGAAAGGATAGAACTAAGACTTGTGTTGCATGGTGGAGTTAGGATCTCTGGTTTTTATAGTCCAATTGTGACATCCTTCTTAACATTTATGTATTTGCTTCATGGTTAGCCACTAAGATGATAGCAAAGTTCAAATAAAGACTAGGTCAGTACTAAGAGCCTTCATGGCCACCCACTAAAAAGGAAGGATACCCCCAAGTAATGGCATCCTACTAAGTATAAGGTTGACTTTTTCTTAAAATAATATAACCAGAAAAAGAGGGTGGGAAATTCTCTTTCTTCCTCTATCTACATCATAACATTAGATGTTAAACATGGAGTTCAAGAAACAAAAAAACAATGAATACACAACATACAAAGTATGGAATTAACTGCAGGTTCAACCTGGGTGCAATGGGCCTACTGAAGTTCGCCATGTTTATCGAGATGACAATGTTGTGGTGGAATCCCTTAGCAAGCTTTGGGAGGAACTGTGATGCAACTACAACTAACGGGCACAACGTCATGTTCTAACATGGCGTTCAGTTCCTCTTTGTAATGACTCTGACTAGTTCTACTTGCTTTCAATAAAAGATCCAAAAAAAAAAAAAAAAAACTTCACATGATGCAAGATTAATCGAATTTTAGGGTAAAACCTGTCCTCCAGTTTCATTCTGTTTTATTGGTTCAGCCTCAAGGACGTGTAAATGAAGGAAAGAACTATTCAACAAACAAATAAAGCAACAGGTCTAAATGTGAAATTTGTAAAGTTAGTTTAACAGAAGTTGAATTTATTTATATGAATTATATACAGGTAAGAACCAAAAAAAAAAAAAAAAAACTTCACATGATGCAAGATTAATCGAATTTTAGGGTAAAACCTGTCCTCCAGTTTCATTCTGTTTTATTGGTTCAGCCTCAAGGACGTGTAAATGAAGGAAAGAACTATTCAACAAACAAATAAAGCAACAGGTCTAAATGTGAAATTTGTAAAGTTAGTTTAACAGAAGTTGAATTTATTTATATGAATTATATACAGGTTGTAAGTTTAAATATCGTCTACAACAGCTCTTCTATGCTTGTTAAACTTCAAACTAAGCAATGGCTGACCTGAACTCGTTAAAAAAGTTCCACATCAAGTTCTTCTTTCACCTTGCAAATCTCAGTGTCCACTGTGCAGCTATTTCATCATGTTTGGCTTTATCTCCCAAGTATAAGTGCGCAATACCAGGAACAACCGGCTTATCTGCAAGAAGCGGAACTGTAAGATACAAAAAAAAGTAGTTTTGTACACTCTGTTCTACAGTTATTATTTTCAACTATTCATTTTACTCTTAACCCATGCAAACCAAATAGGAAGACGGCATAAATCTATAAACACCTTCAACAAGCAATATATGAAGACTCTTTTTATGGTTATATGTTTTCCTCCCATTTTTCTACTGTTTATTTTTAGAATGACTTTTTCACAGCTGTATTTCCTTTTCATATTGTATTTTTATGTGTTACTTGGGCTGAGGTCCTTTGGAAACAGCCTCTCTACCTTCACAAGATAGGGATAAGGCTGCATACACACTACCCTCCTCATATCCCACTTGTGGACTACACCGGGTATTGTTGTTGTCGTTGTTTTCCTCTCTTTATAAAATTAATATTTTTCATCTGTGTCACTTCTTTTGAGAGAGGACATAGGACGGAAGATAGAAGATGTACTTACAAGTTTCAGGATTGGTGAACATTGATCTCAGAGCAAGTAGCACCTTTGAGATTGTTAACGCTGGACTCCAGTTCTCTGTTAGGATGTCCAAGCTAACATTGCCAGAAGGATCTACATTACAATGATATATGCGAGTTTTGAATACAACCTGCAAAAGCCTGAGATCAGAACGAAAAGAAAAGGGAAGAAAAAGTTAATTTCCACCAAATTCAGCCGACAAACAAGAACTATAACCAAGTCTGTGAAGATGACTCTTGTTTATCGGCTGAATTTGGTGGTGAAAATATTTCAACCAAAAGGAAGCCATGCTTTTATTTTCTAAATTTAATACAATAACGACTGTTATTCGGAAGCATGGTACTGCATAAAGATGAAAGTAACAACACAGATACCAGATCTTACGAAATTGTTTACTCAATTTACTCATTTACTGTACACCAAAACAAAGTTCAGGAAGGAGCAAAGTACTCTTCTTCTATTTTTAATCAACAAAAGGTGTAAGAAATAAGAGATTTGGGAATGACATGCTTGATTTTTCGCATTAATAATGGAAAACGAACTTAGAGTAGAATGTAAGAGTTCGGCAGAACCCAGTCACTTTGATCCAAACCCTGTAGTTGCCTTCGAAAACACATTTAATGTGCACAAATTATTAATTTAGAATCCAATAACTCAAAAGGCTATAATCTAGAACTCATAAACCTCAAGAGTAACAAGTTCGCACAATGACCATGCATTTACACATGACCTAAAAATCAAAAGAGCACAAGGGATAGTTTTCATAAGTAAGGGAAGCAACTAGTTCATAGCAATTAGCAATTACCATTTCTTAGCTTAGTTCTATTCAGCAGAAAGAACTCCGCAAACATTTTATCAGAAGACGGTGAACAAGGATCTTTGCGCTTCATCCTAGTTTTAAAGTTTATATCAGAACAAATGGTATAACTGATGGAGAATATTGGAAGTTTGTTGTTCAGATAAAATACAAAAGTAGATGCCTGGATCAGGAAAAATACAACGCTAGATGCATAGGAGATTCACTGTGTAACCTTCAACATACCTTTGGAGGTTTAAATGGATAATCAAAAGGAAAGGTTATATCAAGAAAAAATATTCCACCCTTATAAGGTGTTCCTGCGAGAAACAGGAAGATTTCAGTTAGAGAAGTAACAGAAACTCTTCAGTAAACTGAAAGCAATAAACTTGGTTATCTAAATATCGGAAAATCAAGCAGAAATACAACCAAATTTGAAGTATGACAATTCATTTAAATCAAGCACTTAAAGAGTTCAAGTTCGGTACATTGAGAAATCTTTTACACCCTCAAATTAGTTTAACATATTGCAGGACGCAACTCTTCTTGGCAGATCAATATGGTAACATGATAAATAAAGAAATAAATTGTTGTAGCCAGTTAACTTGCATTGCAACTGTAAGGTTTGTGTACACTCGACCCTTTCCAGACCCCACATGTGGGATTACACTGTGTATATGTTGTTTTACAACTGAAATCCTTATCCTAACTATTACTTCATGCATAATGAATTAACGTCCTATTATTCTCTTTGTTCATTTGATAAAGGATTGACTGATCCAGCAGAACAGATTCTTCAAATGGCTCCTTCAAGCTAACACTTCAATTCATATTCAGACACAACTTCAATTTACAAATATCTTTTCTCTACTCAACTTCAAATACTACTCCCCCGTCTCAATTTATGTGACTCTTTCTTTTTTAGTCGGTCTAAAAATGAATGACACTTTTTTATATTTAATACTCCCTCCATCCCAATTTATGTGACACATTTCAGATTTTGAGATTCAAACAAGTCTATCTTTGACCATAAATTTTTCATATATCTTTAAAATATTTTGAATTATCAATTATTGTGACTTAGAGTACTTTTTACGTAGTTTACGAATATATAAATTTCATTATAAAAAATTGAAGATTCCATTATCCAATTCTCGGTCAAACTTAAATTGTTTGACTCTCGAAAAAACAAAATGTGTCACATAAATTGGGACAGAGGGAGTAATAATTTAACTGTAAAAACTATCTATTTTACTTTTTCTCTTCTCGTTCAAACAAATTCAAATACGTAAGCAAAATGCACAAAAAAGCTCTAAGATCTGTTGGAGTGTTAAGCGCAAAACGCAAATAAAGCGCACGCTTTAATAATACTGGAGCTAATGGAGAATAAATACAAATATATATGTTATTCCAAAACTAATAATTATAAGCATGAATAACAAATATATGGACAAAAAAGTTGAATAAACAATAACAATAAAGAGAAATATTCAATGTGTAGGGTCGTCTCTTCGGGGGACACTCATTGGCAAGGAAAAGTACGTCGTAAAGTCTTGATGCAACACTAAAGCACACATTAAGCAAAGCGAAGCGCTCAACATGTTTTGAGTCTCGCTTTAGGGCTTAAGCGCTCCTTTGACAACACTAAATACTCAATACATATTCGAAAGGTAAAATTGGTTATAGTCACACAAATATCTATTATTTGTTTTAGAGCACAAGTCTAGTCGAACGCAATCACATCAATCGAGACAGAGCGAGTACACTTTTTTCAAATATCACAATTTTTATGTCCAAACGCCTATAAAGAATGTACATTTATACTTCAAACTCAACAACTAGTACTCATCCTCATAGAAAAAGAAGAAAAAAAAGATCATTTTTTTCTTAGAAGAACGGAAAAAAAGAGATAATGATCAAAAACACACCTGAGTTATCACTTTTTCGTAAATTTCACAGTCCAACTATCATCTATTCCTTTTTCCTACCTGAACTATCACTCTCTGTGTATTAAAACACACATCAACTATCATATGTTCTCTTTTTCTACATGAATGTCTGTGATAATTGTAATAGGAAAAGGAAATAGCTTATAGTTGAAAAGTGTTTTAACACATAAATAGTGATAGCTTAACTCACTCAAGTAGGAAAATGGAACAACGGATAGTTGAGTTATGAAACTCGCAAAAATCAGAAAGATTAAATCTTTATAGCTAATCAAAGAGAAATTACCAGGTGGTCCAAAGAGAGTAGCAACCCAATGGTAAAGATTATCTCCTTTAGGTCCAGCTGCACAATCTGGTGGTGCTTCCATGCTTAATTCTGTCATTTCCTTCTGTATTCTCTTCCCTGATGTTGATACCGACGTCGTCGACGGCCATGTTCTTCCTCCTCCTCTTCCTCTTCCTCCGCCGCCGCCGATTGCTATTCCGCCGGACGGAGCTCCGCTGTACATTTTTATTTATCCTGCTGGAAGATAATCTTTCAGCTTTATCCAAGTGGAAGCCTTTTGCTGATTCTTCTTTGTTCTAATACGACGTCGGTTTGGAGTTTTATTCCAACTTCTAAAAAAAAAAACAAATTATTTAACTTTAGGAGTCGTTTGGTCGGAATCAGAGGCGAATTCACAATTTAAATTATATGAGATTCAATCGTATAGACTTCTTGCATTGAACTCGCTGTAACAAATTTTAACAATGAATTTGTGTTTGGTACAGAAATTATTGAATTCAGATGAATTCGATGTCAGAAGGTGAGTCGAAAACTAGTATTATCAACTTTGTAAGCTTATATTTTTCTTCTAAACTTTTTTTTAGCTTTCTTTACTCAAGATAATGATTTTTGCAACAAAAAAAATATCAACTTTGAAAATGGTGGAATCAATTATCAAATTCTATCCTTTTAGAATCTCAACATTCAAAGAATTTCATCCATCTAAAAGGACTTTGCAAATTTTGTTATCCAAACATGTCTTCATCTTTAAAAATAAAGATTAAAGAACATTTTTTTAAAAAAAAATCCACATTTTTTACAAATAGATTCTATCTTGATTAAGTAATTTCTTCGTGTTTGTTTAAGCTTTGATAAAAAGTGTAATTTTTTTCTCATATGTCTAGGCTTTAATAAAAAAAAAGTAATTTCTTCTCGTTAGTATAAGCTTTGATAGAAAGTAACTTGTTCTCGTATGTCTTAAACTATAATAGAAAAAGTGATTTCTTCATATTTGTATAAGCTTAGATGGAAAGTCATTTTTTTTTCTCATATGTCTTGAGCTTTAATAGAAAAAAGCGATTTCTTCGCGTTTATATAAGCTTTGATGGAAAGTAACTTCTTCTCGTAAGTCTCAGCTTTAATAGGAAGTGGTTTCTTCTTATATGTCTAAACATTGATGGACAAAATTCATGGTCTACTTGAACTAATGGGAGTAAAAGTGTATCAAGCTGACCAAAACACCACCGTTATTACGATTAAAGCTAGGGTGGGGGTGGAGTCATGGTAACGAAGCTTTTCACCAACAAGAAAAATAATGCAAAAAATGGATTTAAATCATCATCTAGTTGAGTGTTAAAAGACAAATATCAATCATCTAAACTAACAAAACTAATAGAGTTGGTTCAATTTTCCTGCAAAATACACAAAGGGAATCCAAAAATGCAAAGATCTCAATCTTCCTAGAGCTGCTAGAAAACAAAATGTGCATTCACATCAAGAATCAACAAAGCCAAAAATACAACCATTGTGTAAGCAATAACCGGTGATCGAATCGTTGAACACTGAGAAGTCGCACTGATAGGTCCAAATGCTGCCGGAGGGAACACCCCACCACCTGAATTCGAACTGTCGGATGAAAAAGAAGCAAATTCAGTCCAAATAGAGGCAATATTTGTGCAAATGCAACATGTTAGTATAGGCAAGCTTCTCTATGACAGCGTCAACAACGAAATGTTGTAATAGAGAACATATAATATAACATGAAGAATCAATAAAAACAAGAATGTGGTTGTTACAAAGGATGATTGTTATAGAGAGGCTTGACTGTACTCATAAAGATAATTTATGTATTGTACTTGGTTTAGATATCTCACCTTCCGGTAAATTTACATGTTCTGGAACCTGCACCAGGAAAACCATTAAATGAATCAGGTTTCGAGAAAGAAAACGAAAAATGGTTCAGATAACATACACAGAGGATGAAAAAGGTAGCAATTTTAATGAATACTTCCTAGATTGTTATTGACGATTTTGAAAAGCAAAAGAGAACGGAAGAGCAAAAGAGCTTCGTATAGACTAAAATGCAAGGTTCAGCATGTTGAAATGCTACTAAGAAACATACAGCTAGAAGCATTTCGCAATAATGTAGAAACGCATACTGTGCATGTCAATTAAAGCGTCACAACTCCGAGAACCATTGCTTAAACGGTATGAAATTAAGTAGACACAACAAGGCTTTCTTGTAAATAAGCGATGTTTCAGTCCCATATATCATACACAAACATTTGAAGAAATTAATGTCATTCATCTAATATAGCCGTAAAAATAGTCATATTGAACAACTAAAACAACATTTCTATCAACTTAACCCCAAACGTCAGTAAGGAGCAATAAAACTCGGACTTATGCAATAGAAACACACTTGTACTCTAGCTTCATCAAGTAATATGAACTAGAATATGTGATATTACATCATGTCAAACACAATGGGAGTTGATATTTATTTTATTCAGCAAGGGAAAATAAGATAGAAGAGAAAATTTGCCTTCAGCCAGATAGGCAAAATAGATTCTTACTGAAATGGGAGTGAGAAATAAAAGAGGGATATCATGTCGTTAACTGTTAATTTACCGAATCACTATTATCAGCCAAAACGATCCAGACACCAATCAAGTCATCTCCCGGAACTCCATGTAAAGATGAAAAAGAAAATTACATACTAAAACTTACTTGGATCTTGTGTTGTCATTGTTGCTGTACCATCAAAATCACATGTTCCACCAAGACTATGCATTCTTTGATAATAGTCGTTGTAAGCATAGGAAGCATGATTTTGTATAGTATCTGGGAAATAACAAGGCTTCCCAGATTGAATTGCACTGCAATTAGCACGTCCCTGGCCACAAGCCCAGTTAATTCCATCTTGCAATTTGTTCTCATCTGCACCTGGTTTCGCTACACAAAAAGCTGTACTAGAATTGTCAGAAATGCTGTCCGACGAACCCAGACCAAGGGTATAAACATCGCTCCCGTTCGTAGAAAAGACCCCCCAACTTCTTTCTGAGATTGGCCCAGGTCTTTTGTCTTCATTGAACATCTCGTAAATAAAGGTGTTAATGGGAATTTTGGGTTGACTAGGTGGACCGGTATCATTTGAAACACGCCGAATCAGGTTATTATTAAAAGTTTCCGCATTTTCCTTGGTAGCATCTGGCTCGTTGGAACCTCCAGCCCATGGCCAACCAGTCTCCGTCACAACAACAGGGATATCTGAAAAGTTGAGTGCTTCTATAGAGTTGTACGTAGCATCAACTAAAGCATCAAACATGCTTACATAATGAAACAAGGTGTTCGGATCAACAATTTGCTTCACCGCAGAGAGTGGTTGGAAAAGAGCATATTCAATTGGAAAGATTCCATCAGAGTGAACATACTCATAATATGGATAAGCATTCAACATGTAATACGAGTTTGTATTTCTTAGAAACTGAAGGATCTGGAAGATCGTTGAGTTCCATGAAGAATTGAAAGTGGCAGTGGAAGGAGGAAATGCCTTAGCAATCACATCCATTGATTGCGGGGTTGAAACTTTAACTTGGTTATTTAGTCGTGAAGCTACTAATGCTTTATGTAAGTAATTCATAGCGGGAACCAAAACTGGTGCAGCATTTGGGATTGCGGTGAGAACTTCACTTCCCACAGCAATAGCCGTAATATTTGTTCCGGGCATATAAGCTGCTACATTTCTATTTACCCAAGCAGCTGCAGTTGATGGAGATTCTCCAATCCCTAAGACTTCTTCATTTGTAACGCCAATAATAACTTCAATACTAGTGTTGGCTAAAGCATTCAACATATGAGCATCAGCATTAAATAGGCGCACATGAGTTATCTGACGAGCTTTAAGGAGTGCAACCACATCTGAAGCTGGGGGTAAATTTGTTACATCAGTGCCGATGTTTATTCCAACAAATGCACCTACAATTTTGAAAAACATGCACATTAACACTACAAATGAATCAAAGCACCTTTTACTTACCATCATGCAAGGCCATTATGTAAGCCGCTCAGACGGTTGGATTTCACTATAAAAAAAATGTAAGCACATAACATAAACAGCAGAAATACAACACAAAAGACTGGAACAACTATCAAAATTACAACTACACAGCATACCAAATGCAATCCCACAAGTGGGGTCTGGGGAGGGTGGTTTGTACGCAGCCTTACCCCTACCTTGTGAAGGTAGATAGGTTGTTTATAATGGACCCTCAGTGGAACAACTATTAAAATACCAATGCTAAAACCGATTCTCCAGAAAGCATATCAAAAAACTCTCTAGGTATAAAATAAAAAGAAAACACTAGATTTCTTCTGACTTGCCATTATCGGTTCTTTTTTTCCATTTACATTCTCATAACGATAATATGATGCTATTAGTTTCTTCATCAAGTCGCTAAGAAACACCAAGATTTTGTAAGACAGCTTCAATGCTTCCTCCTGTAGCCTTTCCTAACTCATTGTTCTATCAATGACTTGTGAAGGATGATCCTTTAGTTAAACTTTAGTCCTGTTTTTTTGGTAACTAACTTTTTCTGGTAATCACCAAATGTGTAATTACAAAAATTTCTCTAAAGTGGGAGAGGGAGCTTGAGCGTCAGAGGCAGAGGGACCAGAAGAAGCTTCAGTGACAGTTGATGGTGGAGCAAGAAGCACTTTTTGGGTCAATACTCAATACCTAATCCTTCAAAGAGTGCAGAGAAGAATTTTAGACCATCAATGGGAGGCTTGATCGATAAACCTTAATGATTGGCAGAGCTACTAAATGCCACAACGCTACCTGGCGTTTCACTGTCAAATCACCATGCAGTCTTCCATAATAGTTTTTTGTACTCCATGACGCAACCACTATCTGCTGAACTTCTTACCTCTTTTGCCCTCTTCTAATCATGTAGCACAATCAAGCCGACTCCAAGCAATTTTACCATATTCAGTTAATTTTTTCATCTATGAAATCTTTTATAAGAACTTCATCTTTGAAAAGTTAACATGCTTTACTCAAAGCTTATAGATCTGTCTTACAAATTAGAACATTTATTTGTTTAACAAGCATTTAGCGCTGTATACTAGTACATGTTACAACTTATCTTGCATGATTAGCACATGCATTATCCCCCAAAAGAAATGTTTGATAAACTAAACTTAGAAAGCCAATAAAGGAGGAAATAAATGATATTTATACTTAAGTTGCATGACACCACAAAATAAACAAATAAACAAGAAGA